ATCTAGACTATTTTATATACTATCAAGAGAAAATAATTACGAAGGTGCATGTCAAAGTTACGCAATGGATAAACCGATTGCTGGTCTTTGATTTTATACTTCCTTATTAGGGAGCCAGCCTTTTGGGGCATTATTTAGCATCAGTTAGGCTATGTTATAAGAATAAAGATGTTCAGAACACTTAAAAAACTAAAATAATCACCCAAATGAGACGTTATAATCACAATATTGATACAGGAGGTAAAAAGGGAAGATGTAATGACCGTAAGGGTGTATATATAGACTTTTAAATGAAAATGTAGACAAAACTATAAGGCATTTCATTTTAGTCTACTGAGGTTTATGTGTCTGCAAGGCATTTTTGTGATCTAACAGGGAACAAGAAATAGAAAACTGGCATACAGGAGAGGTCAGTATTTGAGTTGAAAGTTTAAGAATCAAGATAAGAAGATCTGAGTAGAAAAGGATCACTCAGATTAATGGTTGGGGAAAAAAATTAAAGCTCAGACTGAGCTAAGCTTTGAAGGATGCCTTTGTTTAGATAGCGATTGGTGTATAAAACATACAGGAATTTTTGAAGAAAGATTTCCGGGGCAAAGTAATTTTCAAAGTCAAGAGAAGAGTATTTCAAAATCCTTTTGTTCATCATTTTCACACACTGCAAAGTCAAGGGTGGTGGGATTAAGGCTGGGAGAACACTGAGTTATTGCAAGTCAGTGGTAATGTGGGAAGTTTTCAATTTCTGGAGAGTGAGGACTGCACTATATTTCAAGGAGATTTGGAAAATACTATGCATGATGGGTGCGCAGAAAAGGCAGAAACCCATATATAAAAGGTTTATTGAGGCTTATTGTGAAAGGAAAAAAAAATCAGGAAGAGAACAAAAGAGCTGAATGGAGGTTATTATTGCCATCGTTACTGCTGTTGATAATACACAGGAGAAATATATATACCATGAAAAGTACAAGTAGCTGACAAGAGGTGGCAGAAATTATAGACATTTAAGAGCTTGGAACACAATGTTTCAGTTACAAAACAGCCCTTTGCTTTACAAAGGAGAAGAATCACCTCTATCCAGAAGTCCTGGGTAAAAAGAAGAGTTTATATAGAATGAGAATTTGAAGTTGACAAAAAGGATAATGAAGCTATTTCTGGTGGGCACAATTTTCTCTGGCAAATTTATGGAGGAAAGCTTTGCATAGCTGTGAGAAGAGTTGATGAATGAGGTGTCTATTGTATTTTAACTGTGATTGGCTCTTTATTCTACATTTACTATTGCTATAATTTTTTGATGATTAAATCTTAATATTTAACAAACCCTTAAAATTTTGGCACATGCTCTGTGATAATCATTGCATCATTTCTCTGTTTTCTAATATTTCTCAAATTATTGTTGCAGCATGATTTTTTAATATTGGCTGCTATAGAATTTTCATTTTAGATATATTTAATTAATTGTTAAAGGAGGATTATACTTGGTTTAAAATATCACAAATAATTAATTTGCCAAGTTTTTTCCTCAAAGAAAACTTCCTTTATAGGTATATTATAGGTTTGATTTTGAAATATTATAGGCAAATCATCATGTCAAAATTAAATGACTACTTAAACAATCAGTAACATAAACAATCAGTGGGGTGACTTTATGCTGATATATAAGGAAGGTAAATTTGTCAGCTGTAAACTCCCAGAAAGCCCCCAGAGTAACCTGTTAAGCAAACCTGATTTTAATATCTGTTGTATTCAAGGTGGATTTGATAGTCCTAGAATGTCCACAAAGAGGGGGTAGCTGGTGGAATCAGAGGATCTATAAGTCCCAGGGACCTAATTGAGTGATTGACAGGCCTTTCAATGTGAGGATTTGGTTGATACTGTACATGTTGCATGTATAAGTTTAGGATTGGTGAACAAAGATGTAAATATCTTGAAATAAATCTTAAGTAAACAACTGTTTGAGAATTAAGAAATTTGCTCAGTTGTAGAAGTTTATAAATAAGATAAACTGATTTTCTTAAAGCTTCTGAAGCAAAAATAAAGTACTTGTACAGATTTAAGACTAAGAATTTACTAAGAATTTACTAGAACTAATAAAATCTTATGGATGTAACTTGTTTGGATCTTGGTCTTTATAGCTGAGGTGAGTGCAGAGGCCTCAGTTCTCAATTCCAAAGCAAATTAAAAACTTGTTTATAATGGAAAAGTGCTTTACTAACTGCTATGAGTGGAAGAAGTATAAAATAAAATATTGTATTTATCTGAAAGATCTTAAAGTAGCAAATGCTATTATGTTTGCTTTCCCTTGGATAGATTATGGAAAAAAGGACTGGACAGAAGTGACAGTAATAACTATTTGGGGGACCAGATGCTAAATATAAATTCTTGGAGCTCGGGAAAGACAGACTAGACAGTGGTTGTATCTGCTCACATCTTTTCATTTTAAAAGCTAAAGAAAGATTATTTAATCAAAGCACTGTAAAATGTGTAATACTGTTTTTTAAGAATGTTTCAAGTATACTTATCTTGATCTTCCTGTGTTAATGCACTTTATTCATTGATCTGATTCACTCACATTTCATTTCCTAATATTAAACAAAATATGAAGTGACAACTTTGAAATATAGTTCCAGAAAGTAATTTATTAATGCAATAATAGGACTTCCAAAACTGGGAGATTCCACTAGGGTTTATAAATCAAACAGTAAAGTAGAATAAATATGGGGCTCAGAAGACCAGATTTAAAGTCTGGGAAAAATTAATGATAATTAATATAGGCAGATATTAGATGCTTTTAAAATAATCCATGCAGAAATATTTATTAAATATTAAGCTACATGATTATACTTGTTTTAAAAAAAGTTTCTTTTAGTAGTGCAACATTGAGAGTTACATAATAGTAAAATTTATCATCTACTTGGATTTTCTCTTATTATAATAGATTATGGGCTATACAGTACTCTACTTCCTCCATTGAAGAGGAATCACTGTTCATCTAAAAAAAAAAATTCTCTAAAATTGTCTTTCTCCCTAAGCTCACAAACTTCATCCTAATTTAAATTTTGTGATGCTGGCCCCTGCAAGAAGTGCCTCTCTTTAAGGGGTCTTCTGCCTTATTTTTTTCCATAATGCAGAGGAAAATGCTTTTTCTCTTAGTTTATTGTCAAATAATATTGTAAGGATAATTTATTAATACCTGCTCTTTGAATAATTTGCTAATCTATGGTGGTAAATTTATCACTGTTAAGTGATCCAAATGAGAATTTCAAGACAGATAATGGAGGATTGATTGGGGTTGGTTTATTGATTTGAGGCTCCTGGTCTAGAATGACCTGAGGAAGATCAACTGTGAAATACAGGTGACTGATGTTCCTCTTGAGCTGAGATCATAAATATGGGATAGTAGTAAAGAAAGAGAAAAGGAATGGAAATAGCATTTATTTCACTATATATATTTTAATGTTGTAAACCTGCTAGTTGTTCTATGTCACTGGAAAGAACCACAGATAAAGTTAGTGATAAAAAGAACCCAATTTCTCTATAGCTGGTGAAAGATGTTCAGAAGTTGATACAAGCCCTTAATTTTAAAGATAACGTAGGAATATTTTTCATCTCAGATGGTAACTTGGAAATAACATACTGACTTTTTCTCATTTCATAAAACACCATTTGCCTTTTACCTGTACCCAGTCCACAGTTCCAACATGCCATTGTCTTCATGTCATTAAGGGTAAAAACTATTGACCTTCTGAGTCATCAGTCATATTGAACCCTCAGTTTTCTAAATGAAACACTGAAGAAAACAAAAAAAAAAAACAAACTTCATTTTTGCTAGTATCGATGGGTTCTCATCGATATATATCTATATATATATATATAGATATATATATATATACTATTTATATAGTGTGAAATGACTAGAAAGCAGGTGAAAAAAATCTTGCCCTGCCAACTGTCATTTACACATAATTGTCACAACCTACCAGCCACTACTTGTCATTGCACAGATGAGAATATTCTGGTGCTGAGAGTTTGTAACTTACATAACTTCATTCTCTATGAATAATGGACCCAGCCACCTTCAATATTGTCTTTCTTCTGAAAATGGGCAGGAGTTATGGAGGTGCAATACCTTGGAAAATGTTGGATAAAAATGGAAAAGAGATCATCATTTAAAAAAAGAAAGTTCCTAATTTTGCTTAAATTTGGTTATCTTTCCTTCTAATTCTTACAAATATAGATATAATTGTATAGATATAAATGATATATATTTTTTAAATTCTGAGTATCCCCTGGCAGTTTTCCCTCAGGTTGATATTCTCACTATGAACTATTTTTAAGGTGATCTGATTTCCCAAAAAATACAACTCACTGACTAACAAAAATATATAAGGTCAACAGCTGTCTAGGAGCACTGCAATTATTTAACAGAGAGATCATTCTCATAAAATTGACAATGTAGCAGTCTGAGAATTTTATCTTTGATCACACAAGTCAGATAAAGAAGCAGAGGCAGCATTTTCAACCCACAGGAAAAAGTGTTGAATGGAAACAGTGCTGGTAGAAGTGGATACCTGGAAAGGTTTTCCATGAGGATGGTTCCATATGAGTCACATTGGAATTGTGTAGTTATGGTTAATTGGCTTCCATTCTTATAAATGTAACTAATCATTAATAGCTTACTTTGGAAACCAGAGGTATTTTCTTTGTCCTTTGTTATCTCAAAATGAGTAGCAGATTGCCAATATTTTAATTAGTTTTTATTTGTTAAGCCAGGAGTCTGAATGACCCCCTCACTAACCCTATTTTCATTGCACAATGGGCCATGTGCTAGATGGGCTTCCTGATCGTTGAAGAGAATTAATGTGAGCTAAGTGCAGAAATCTGCTCAGGTTATTAAAGGCTAACAATGATTGTTCCAATGTATCTGTTGTACGCATTTTCTCCTCTATAGTTATTATATTACCCAATGTGTTTGTTAATTGTTAATATTTTTGTTGTTGCAGATACAGATGTGGTGTATAAAAGCGAAAATGGACATGTCATTAAACTGAATATAGAAACAAATGCCACTACATTATTATTGGAAAACACAACTTTTGTAAGTAATGAATAATTACCTTAAACATTTTGGAATTGTTTTGAATGATTTATAGGTGTACATAACTTTTTCATTAACTCCAGCATTAGCAAAACATTGCAGGTGAAAAGTTAGGGGTGGAATATCATCAGAAGACGTAAATCTGTTCATGAAAAATATCCATGTAACCATATGCTCTTTTCCCCCATTTATCCTTTTTATTAAATGAGTACATGTTTCTGGGAATAATTCTTCTTCAGAATGGAAAGTTCTCCAATATTTTCTATATAAACTTACTGATACAAGTACCAATACTTTTTTTAAAAATGTTTAATATAAAACAACTCATAACTAACCTTCCTTTTCTCCTCTTAATTTTCATTCATCCTGATTTATTTCAAATTCTATTATCATTTACTGGATCAAGTAGAAGGCAGGCATTTTAAAACTGCTGGTATTGACTTGTTTTACTTTTATGATTTAGGATTCTATCTGTATTATTTTCTTCTCCATAAACATTGTTTACCCTCACAATGTTCAGATGGCTGACAGTATTTATTTTGCCCTCATAAATGAATAGGAAATTGTTTTTCTGATAAATTAAGTCATGTTTAAGGTTAGATTCAGCTATGACTACCTACTGAGAAAGTGATAATGAATTTACTGTTACAAATATTCAAAATCTAGCTAGCATACGCTATTGGAAAAGTACACAGTTATTTGATCACAATTTTATGTAATCAAATTTCAATATATTGCCTATTAGTTGAGTTCCTATGATAGAAAGAAACCATAATAGAAGTTCTCAAAGACCTTCTACACAAATTAAAGCAATGAGGAAGCCATTGGATATTTCTTGTACTTATTCCTATTTTACATTCGGAATAAACATTTAGTTTTTGTATTTGTTGTAGGATGACCTAGTAGAAGAGAGGGAATGAAATTTTCTGTTGTGTTTTTATATATTAGGCAAAATAAATAAATGTCATCATTGAAATCATGAAAAAGTTATACATATGTATTTTTTAGGCTAAATTAAACCAAACCGATGCACTTTAACATTTGGGTCGCTAAAAGAGATGAATGACATTTTAAAAAAAAAAAAAAAAGATTGGTTAAATCATATAGAGAAAACCTATTGCACTTGCAGAATGCTAAGTATATGTAAGGCATATTGCTCAATTTCTAAGGATATAGATTTTCTTGAGGGAGATATTAACTCTCAAGAAAAAGTTTAATGGACAGTATTTTTCCTTTATTTTATCGAAGTAACATTACATTGTAACATTATATAGGCTCCAGCTATTCATCATTTTTATTTAAAGTCTATAGGTAAATATATGCATCAATGAGCCCAATTTCATCTTTACCAAACAGTTGACTCCTTTTATCCAAATTTTCCACTCTTGTTCCTTCCCTTCTGGTTACTAGTTTGATCTTACAATCCACAAGTTTATTTTTGTTTTATTTAGTTCATTTATTTGTGTGATTCGTTTCTGTATATCCTGCATATGAGTGAGATGATACTGTGTTTTTCTCCATTTGGCTGATTTCACTAAGCATAATGCTGCCTGTGTCTACTCATTCCATTGCAAATAGTAGAATTTCATCTTTTAAAAAATAATATAGCTGAGTAGTAGTTCTTTGTGTTTATATACCAATTAAATGGTCCCCAAAGATACTAGAGAAGAGGGTGAGGATTGTTTGGAAGATGTAGGGATCAACTGAAGAGAAATCCTAGACAGGAGATAGGACAAGAGGCAGAAAGTAGGGATGGGTAATGATGAAATCACAGTGAAGTAATTTTGATAAAATTTGTTTAGGGAAAAAAAATATATGTACTTTTTTTTTTGTTTTCTTAATCATAATGTATCATTTTTAATAGGTATATAGACAAGCAGTGAACAAGAAAACAAGTTAGATACACTCAGTACATACATATTTGGTTATATGAATTTTCCTTAAAAAATCTTCCTTCTGGTTAGTAATTATGTATTTTTCAGCATTTATTAGTTGTTTTACATTAAAAATGAACAAACAAACCCTTTTTAGTTATTCCATTATTTCAATTCTGTAGTCTTTAATACACACACTACCCTATCTCATCTCTTTGCAGGTTTTTTCTTGTGCTGATAAATGCCATTTTATACCTGTGCTTGAGTATTTAATCTTTTAAAATCCTTTTGAGGTCTATTTCTACCCTTCTCTATGTTGGCCATGACTCTTAATTACCACAGAGTCATATTTAGCAAATATTCTAATTTACTCTTCTTCTGTGATTCATAGGCTCCCTAAAGACATTTATGGCACAACACAGATAATTAACCAATTTATAAGCCCTAGAGGTGTCAGAATTCAATGGAATGGGGGCAGATAAGAGAGTAGAATGTGGCATATATTTGTAGCAGTTAACCTAAAACTGTGAACAAAAATAAAAATTAACATGATTCCAGATGATTTCAGAGGAACTCATTTAAACATTTCCTCCAACTCCAAGATAACATGAAATATCAATTATAAAACTCATGTCTGGGTAAGATCTGGATTTACTTTCTCTCCCAAGACATTCTGTTGGAAAAAAAATCACTTATCAGAGTTTTACAATTTCACTTATATTGCAGATTTTTCATTGAGCAATTATCAGCATCTTTAGATACAATAGTAATTAATTGTATCAGATCACTATAAAAAGTTTTCTAATAAAAGTGTGGCAAGTCAGTTGAGAAACATGCTGTAGATTTAAAAATGTGATAATAGAATGGCTTATTATTTAATAAGACACATTTTGCTAAAATGTGACTGCCAATTTATTTTCAAAATTAAGATAGCACCACACTGTCATTTCTCTGCTTAAAAACCTTTTAAATATGGATCCTTGTACTTTTAGCTATATAATCATGATTAGCACTATGAGCAACAATAATTTGGGAGATGACTGTCAATAATAAGCAGAAGTAAATTCATTTTCTTAAAATAATTGTTAAGGCATTTTTTTTGGATGGAAGAGAGCTGGGATTCTAATGAAAGAGGAAATTAAAGGGTAGGTAACTTCTCAAAGGGGAGTTATGCAAAAGAAGTGATTCAGCCCCCAAAGTACTCTTTTTTTTTTTTAAAGATTTATTTTTATTTATTTATACAAGCACTGGCTACAGTCAGAAGCACAGGAAGGTGAGAGAATTCACCAGCGCCAGAGCGGAGAGCAGAACAGACAGACTAACGAAATACACTGCTGAGGGGAGCAGTGGACACAGCAGGAGAGGTCTGCATGCCATGTGGGACCCTCGCCAGCCAGGTGGGGATCGAACTGGTGCTGCAGAGCTGCGGGCAGCTTCATAATTCACAACCCAGCGCTCAACCGCTGGGCCACCGGGGAGGCCCCAGCCCCCAAAGTACTCTTAATCATTGCTAGATGTTTAGAAATGTTTTCTCTTAAAACCAGAACTTTTTAAAACAAAAGTTCATTCACAATGACATAATGAGGGGAATGTTTCGTAAGTGTTGGCTGTACTCACTAAAGTCAATAATTTAAATATCACCAGTAATCCTGGCAGAAAACACTAGCCATCATAAAATTATTTTTAGTTTATTTTTTAAGATGTATTTATGCATACAAGAGCTGGGGTGCAGGCCAGAGGTTCAGGGGGTGAGAGGATTCACCAGACACAGAGTGGGGAGCAGAACAGGCATATCTACTGAAATACACTGCTGAGGGGAGCAGCTGGTAGCCAAGACAGGAGAGATCTGCTGAGCCAAGTGGGTCACCTCCCTTGCTGGGGATCAAGCTCCTGCTGCAGTGGCTGTGGGAGAGCTTCATAGTGCTGGTGCTTAACCCCTTGTGCCACCAGGGAAGGGAGGCCCCTTCATAACTATTTTTATTAAATCATTTTTGAAATTAGAAAGTAATTGAAAACATGCATCCAACTTATGTGCTTAAATATTTTTTTAAGAGCTCAGGTATTGAAAAGGAAATAAAGGGGTAGAACAATTACAAGAAAAATGTTAGCCACATATATTTTGGTCCAATTGTCCTTTCATAAGTCATTGCTAAATAGTAGATTTGACTAAAGCTAGGAAATGCTTATGTTTTATCATGCATAAAGATATCCTCCATTGGCTTGCATGCGATTGTAGCAGTATTATTTGTTCATTTGTTCTGTCACCGGGTATGTGTTTTGGTGGTGTGGGAGGAAACGGATGGGAGATGAATAGATCCAACTCACTGTACCACAATGAAATCAAGCACTTATTTTCTGATTCATGTTTGGGAAAAAGCTGCCCTATTAAAAAATCAGCAATACTAATAAAGAATTGCTGGTTAAAGGCACTCCAGATTTCACACTTAAAATGTGAAATAAAGGTCAACAGTAATTTCTGACTGGCTGAACCATCCTTTCATGCTGGCTATAGTTATGGAGAATTTGATATTTTTTTTTTAAGTTCTGCCCCTGGTTGCGTATGTTGTTACCCAGCATTGTTTAACTTTAGTATTGTAACTAATATTGATTAGCTACTGATGTCACAGGAATTGTATACTTATGCTGTTGCTGTGTGCATGATAGTGTAGTTCCTTTCTCTCTGTAGACCAGTGCTCAGCTGTGAGCACTTTTGGCCCCAGAAGATATTTGACAAATCAGGGGACATGCTTGATAGTCATGGCTCGATGTAAAGATTTTGCCATGGAATGTAGTCCTAGCTGAAGTGAGAAATGCTGCTAAACACTCTACAAAATACAAGACATCTCCTCACAATAAAGATCCAGCCAGAATTGTCTGTAGTGTAATCTGAGAAATCCTGTGTAGACAGAGAGAGAAGGGAAACTATGTGATGATTGGAAGGTAGGTTTCCAAGGATGGGATCAAAGCAGTAGCACTTCCATATGTATTTGTCAAGAAGGTTCTTATGTTGTAACTTCCAACTTTTCTTCTTCAAAGATGACCAACACGCTTGAGTAGATTCAGCAGGCCATGAATTTCCTCTTGTGGTTAGTTCAGGGTATGGGCTAAACATTTGACTCCAGTTTT